CAGCAGGGGCTGGAAGTGGGAGGCATTGTGGTTCACTTCCTTCCTCAGTGGTCAGTCGGTGTAGACAGGGGAGGGGAGATTGTGCCCTTTTCCCCTTCCTGTTTAGTATCTACATGAAACTGCTGGCTGAAGTCATCGCTCAGTTCAGAGTTCAGTATCATCAGCACACTGAAGATACCCAGCTGTACATCTCAACTCTGCTGTGTTGCTGAAGCTGTCAATGTACTGATGCAATGTCTGAAGGCTGTGTGGATCTGGATGGGGAAGAATCCTGACAAGACTTTGTGGAGATGGCTGTTTGGGTTGAAGATGTTTTCATTGTTGGTCTTGGATGGGGTTGCAATTCCCCATTCAAGACTGCTGCACAACTTGGGGGTCCTCCAAGACTTGCAGCTCCAACTCAAAAAGCAGGTGGAAGCTGTGGCCAGGAGGACCCTTGCATAGGTTCATCTTGTGTGCCAGTTGCACCCTTTCCTTGACTAGAAAGCCCTTCAAATGGTCACTCACACCCTAGTTACTTCACAACTGGACTATTGTAATACACTCTACATGGCTCTAGAAGCCACAACTGGTACAAAATTCAGTGGTGCAGGTAGTAATGGGCACTCCATGATATACCCATGTGTCACCACTGCTATGTGAGCTGGATTGGTTGCCATTAGGTTTCTGTGTGCAATTCAAGGTTGTCATCTATAAAGCCCTTCATTCCATAGGGAATGATTATCTGAGGCGCTGCCTATCTCCAATTGTCTCTGCCTGTTGAGTACATTTGCACAGAGTGAGTACACTCCAGGACCCCTCTATTAAACACCATCATCTTGAAGGACCAAGGTCATGTGCCTTTTTTGTGGCTGCTCCCCCCCAGAGATATGAATGGTGCCCCCACTCCTGGGGTTTCAGTAAGCCCTTAAAACATGGCTTTGTCCCCAAGCCTGGGGTAAATACGTTTATTGACGTATTTGTGGGGCTACTGTAATATGGTTTATTGTTTCGGTTATTTTAGTCTGGACTGCCTATTTATGTGTGCTTCTATTTAATTGTTTTAAATTATTTTTATAGCTTCTGGATTTTGTAAGCCACCCAGAATCTACTAGAGTGAGTGGCTATAACAAATTTAATGAATTAAATGAAAATGTATTAAATAATAGTAACTAGAACAAATGTTACTTTGTTTTAAATATGTAGCATTCATCATTAAAACAAAACAATATACCTCTAGTGATTTTTTTCTTTAGATGCATTTTCAATATGAAATAATTTATCTTCCTTGTTTTTAATATATTTTATTATTGAATGATCAGTTGAAGATTTGTCAACCCTTCTCCTCCCCCCCCCTTCCTTTCTGTGGTTGTTGTTATTCCTTATTTTGTTTCTGATTATTCATATTGTATTTTATTGTTGTTACACTGTGAACCGCCTAGTGTACTCTGGAGCTGGGCAGTGCCTAAATTGAATAAATTAAACTAAATTAATTAGGACTTACAAGCAATGAGATCCAATTGCTCCCACAATTAGAGAAAAGTGGGAAAAATAAAAGGCAATTGCTGATCAGGAATTGTTTCTGATATGCATGGCCACTGGGCCTGGCAGTATGTTTGCTTCAGGTATGTTTAAATGAATAAAACTACCTGCATGACTTGAAGAAAGCTGCACAATCTGTATAGTATAATTTATTATGTCTATTATACTAAATTTAAATAACTGGTATGTTTGAACCTCTTTTAGTTGAAGACTTTGAACATCTGTAACAGCTGTTTGAGGTATTCCATTATAATACAGGCTAGAGGCCATTATTGTTGGTAAACATATCAATTCATTAATTAACAATATAAACGAAATAAACTCCTTTATACAAAAGGATACAGTAAAAGAATCCTTTCCTTTCCTTTCCTTTCCTTTCCTTTCCTTTCCTTTCCTTTCCTTTCCTTTC